ATTGCCAAGGAGTTAATTAAAGTCAAGATGATAAATCCTTCCCTTTTTTCAGGAAATTATATCTCTCAGTGACACTGTCACTTGCAGCTATACTTTTTGCTATCAAAAACTTCGTCATATTTTTGATAAGTTAGATTCAATTCCCCCCTTGAATTTCATTACCAGCAAATGCAAAGTCTTCATGAACATTCTCGAACCAATCTCTACCTCAAAACAAAATGTCAACTTCTCTTGTATAAGGTTGTTATGCCAAGAAAAGCTCCTTTTTTATTACAACAACGGATATGATATATATGCCACTGACGGTTCCGTCGGACATAATGTATCTGGCTTCTCGGTCGTGAAACATCTATCTGAAACAATACTTCGAGTCAAAGTGGAAGAGGAACTCTCCTCTACTTTCATTAAGTTGCTCGCCATTTGACATGCTATCATGGTTGCTATTTCCGATGGTATCAGACGTTTTGTTATTTTTTCCGACAGCAGGTCAGCTCTACTTCTAATATATAAAAGAGATGCAGAAAATCAATATGTGTTTGACATTCACAAGACGTTGCACGAATCTCAAGTGGATGACTGTCACCTCGTTGGGGTACCTGGCCACTGCGGCTTTTTTTTAAATGTAAAAGCCGACTTTCATGCAGGGAGAGCTCGTGTTGATGGGACAATTTTGTCCATCAAATATACTCCCAATGAAGCAATTTGGGCAATTCGCAACCACATCCTTCAACAGCTAAACGACGAATTTAAAGTAATCGCCCGCGTTAAATCCAATCGTCTTTTCTATAAATTAAATCCCACATTGCAATTCAAACCCTTCTCTGTATCTTCTTTTAATTCCTGGGAAATCAAAATTCTTTATAGACTCATGAGTGGTCACACTTATGACAAAGTTTATTTAAGAATGTTTCGCGCTATACCATGTGATGTTTGTGAAGTTTGCAATGTTGTTGAGTCTGCTGAGCATCTAATCTTCAGATGTCACAGGCTTGATGGCATTAGAAATTCCTTTAGCTTCTTCAAGTTATATGGCTGTCTCCTCAATTTCTTTGCAGCAAAAAATGTACGTCATCTCGGGGAACTAACTTGCTTTATTAGAAAAGCCAATTTATCCTTTTAGAATTTTTCTTTTTCCTCCTCTTTCCTTTTTTTTTTTTTTTGCGTTCAATCATTTTCAATTACCATAACATTCCTTTTCGTTTTCAGCCAAAGTTTGCAACACTGTCTGACTTTCAAGAACTCAACAAGCACACTTACACACACACACACACACACAATTACATTTAACATGCTCACTCCAGTTATTACGGCCGCTCTTATTTTTTTGTTACGGTTTATACATAATCGTGACTAAAAATTACAACAGTTTATTGTTTGGACATATAAGCCACAAATCTATTGACTTAGTCCATCTCTGTTCAACATACCAAAAAAAAAAAAAAAAAAGAACCTTAGAATTTGCTGAAAACGTTTTACATTGCCCGCACTTCCTTTTCTTATGTTTCTTGCTTGTGTTGTGGTAATCTGGGAGGCCCTAGTTGGCTGAATTCGACTACTTCTTGCTGTTGGCGCAAGAGGGTGTTTGAAAAGCACAACTATCCGCGCGCTATGTCCAATGTGGCCAAGGCTATTATACAGATAGTGCCAAGATTTCACAAAAGGTAATATGCAATATTAATTGGGAGTTTGGCGCTGTCCTTCCACTGCTTGAATTATTCGCAAGAGGCGTTTGCACATCAGAGACTTCAACGGGCCATCGAACAATTCACACGGAACCTCAACACAAGATTTCAAAAGTTCCGTGATAGCGTTGGCAAGAAGATTAAGAAAGTAGGAATTAAAGTCGAGGAGAAGTTTGACTCACGCATTAACAACTTATAATGGTCATAAAAGTGATGGAGAACAAGCTAGTGAAAAAAGCCAAGTTTTAGAAATAATGCAGATCAAACTTTCTCGATATTATAGTCGTATAAACGTTATCGTATCAAATGGTAAAGTAATTCTTAACAATAATGCCATTGTGGCTACCTATGGTGTTTACGCGTCTCTACAAAATTACAAAGAAGTCCAATTTCATTCCGACATCTTATTTATACTTCTTACTATATATCAGCATTTTTTGTTAAATTTATTGTAGTTGGTTTTCTTATGTACTGGGCTGTAGCATTGTTATATTGAATTTTTGCAATAACCATCACGGACTGTCGCAACTCATATTTTAATGCCGCTAGATGTGAGTTTTGGGCCCATTACCAGCAACAAAGATAAAATTGTAAATAAACTTAGGCTAATAATTTAGTATATAAGCACCATATTTTTCGAATAAAGAATTAATTATTGTTTGATCGCTTCTGCTGAGTTATTTTTAGCAATTAAGAAGTTAAAATTCAAATCTTTAATTCTTTTTTTTAGTGACGCTCATAACCGAATTTATTTTGCCTTATGCCGAGTAGTTTAGGACCATGGAAAAGTTATTAGCAGAAATCATACAATGACAATGAATTCATGGGTAATCCCTGTCCTTATGAAAATTGCTTCACATTAGCTAAACTACACATATTTATGGCAGTTTTGTCACCTCACACACATTGAACACATTGCATGGCGATTCTGTCACTTCACATATATTGATATTGTTACAATGTAACTAAATACTGTATTCAATTTACGAACGTATATGTCCGCTTGTTTGGGGTATTTCTTTATCAGTGAGGATTACAAGAACAGAATCGTACAAATGCACGAGTTAAATCTATTTGAATGCTTACATTAAAGCCAAATTAAAGTTCTGTAGTAATTATTAAGTGAAATTATATCTGCTGCTATGCATTCTTTCTGATTCATTTCCATTTATTATACCCACCACTCTAAAATGGCGAATACTCATTTTGTTTGCCATAAAGTATATAACACCCAAAAAGAAGCCTCAGAGACTCTATAAAGTATATATATTCTTGATCAGCGCGAAATTCCGAGTTGATTTAGCTATGTGTGTCCCTCTTTGTAGTGTGTGTTTTTGGTACTCCCCTGGTCGCAAATATGAAGATATCGACTTCAACTTTCGTAGAAACATTGGAAGTTTCTGCATGCAGGTTGCTATTGAAAATGAGTCAAATTGATCAAAGCAGAAACGCGCAGCGAAGCATAAACTGTTTGGAAGTGTTTGGATTTTTGCTCTTTACACGGAAATTATGAAAGTTAGAAGGCTGAAATTTTCCATTTTTACTTTACAAAGCATTGTACTCTTTATCTCCAAAAATGTAAACAATCGACGATGCCCGCACAAAGTTGCAAGTAATTAAATTTTATTTATTTTACTTCTTTTGCTTATTTATTGTAAGGTAAACCATCTGCGTAAACAAGAATTAATTCTAATATAAATACGGTAGACACCGCGATCACTTTTTTGTAATAATACCAGAGATATGGATATCAACAAAAAAAAACATCGGTTAACTGCCGAAACTATTTTCAGTCCAATAAAAAAGTTGTTTATACTCACAATATTCATACATATGCGATACTTATTTTTTCGGAGCTATGAAATCTCCTAAAAATAGCATAGCGCCATAATTTTCGAAAGAAGTGAAATTGCCTGAAATTGCCTCCATATTGTGATCCTTAGTAAAGCGATCTTTCAGCGCCTCTGTCTCTTTTTGCACTTTTTAACTGGAAAATATAGAAGTTGTGCTCGACTATTTGCAAATTTCTCATATTATACATGCTGGACATGTTCACTCTTCTGGGTAGGAACCTAACACCGACGCATCATTCTTATTTTCGGATTCCTATTTCAACTTTGTCGTACTTTTATAAAACTTTATGGGAATTAACAGATCATATGGTTTTGCATATATACATACAAATAAAATAAAAGAAAACGCACAAGAGAAATGAAGACAATTCATTTTAAATTTAGAAATCATTTGTCTAAGTTATGTTTGTCTTACACTAATTTAGGTTTTTTTTTATATTGTGATATACAGTTTTGGTTTATACTATACATTATTTTGTAGGAAATGCAAAATACACAACAAAGGCCACTTATTTTAAAATTGAAATATATTCATCAAATCGTTTTATTAGAGCATGGTAAATGCTAGTTTCCAAATTATATATATATACATAGATATATTCTAAAAATATATCTAATAACTCTACATATATCTAATCAATCTTCTCTAAAATTAATTAGTAAACGAGGTTGTTTAGTTTTATATTAAGTTACTGATTGTAATTTTTTATAAATTTGTCTACGTTTACATTGATTTCTTTTTTTTATCCGAAAACCACATGCTTTTGTTCTCTTTTGTTCTTTTGATAGTAAAACTAACCCCCCCCCTTGTGTTTACCACTTGAGAGCTTTTATCCCGACAGCTAAAATGACGCTACATTAGGGTCCCAGGGTTTTTTTCTTGATCAGCCAGTTTCGAAAGTCTGTCAAGCATGCATTTCATATTCTTGACTATTAAATACAGCGTTGGTTAGTTCTTCCTCCATTTCAAATCAATTGAATTTTCCCATTGTAATTTAATGTAAATCTTTCCCTCTAATTGTTCGTTGTTATTGCAATATTTTTTTAGCAAATAAAAATAATCGCAGCATAAACTAATATATTAACCATATGTTATGCTTTTTTCAGGAAAATCCAACGCTTTCTTTTTGTCAAAAACGACGCTCGTAAAAATGTTAAAAGTTTGATAAGAATATACATATGCACACAACACAAGGCTAATTGTATTTTCATCTATATTCAACATACAGTCAGTTTCTTTTGACAGTTCGTGCGGCCCTCATAATGCATAACGTAATCATTGTGTGGTCTCAATATATGAATAATCGATTACTCATCAAATGAAATCGATTAAATTAAACGCGATATCGGAGTAGATTTATTGCATTTAGCAAGACGGTTCTGAAAATTTATGAAAAAATATAATAAACAATTCTATTGTTACTACTTACTAATAGTTACATCTTAACTTTGAGAATTTGTGGCAATGTCGGCGTATGATGAAAATCCTTTTGGTGAACCTATGGTAGATAATCCATTTGCGGTAAGATTACCTCAACTGCTACAAATGGACTACGACATAGCTAATAAGTTTTACATAAAGAGCGTTTCTATTATAAAATGGAAGTTATTTATTCATATGTAAACTTCTTATTTAGGATCCAGCTATTCAACAAGTAACTCGGGCAAATGCTAATGTGCAAAGTTCCTTAGAGGATTATAACCCTTTTGAACAAGAACAAGTAAAACCGCAAATACAAATTAATTCCACATATAATGCCGCTGTTGTCCAGCCACAATCGCAAAACATTCCTTCCACTCAACCACGAGTTTTGACGACCACACCCAGTACGAGTGTGCAAATTACCACGGAAGATTTGCAGGTAACTGTAAAGATTTCAATTCCTTAATTAATTGAATCTATTATATTGTTAAAATTGCGTCGAACTACTAACTAACATAAAGTCTTGTACCTCAGTGTAATCAGCCCATTAAATTTTTATCTAACATAAAAGCGAAACGAAATTTTAGGATACATGTGCTTTGTTTTAAAGTTTAAGTGCAGAACGTATTTGTACTCAATTCAATAAAATTTATGCTAATTGGGCAGGATAGATATTTTCATGTTATTTCTCTATGTTAGATAATTAATATAGGGAAATGAATCGTAAATTTAACTATAGTTGAAATGTATCTTAAACGTAGTCCGTGCAGCGACGGATTAACTTTATGCTAACTTTTTGAATAGTCTGATCGTCTAATGTGGCCAATAATGCTTTCTTTGATAATAATAATAGAAGTAAAATTTTTTCACCGTTATACTAAAACAATAAATGAATATTATACGTTACTTACATCATCATATCAACACCAAAAAAAGGGAAGACATACTCTTATGTATGCCATCACATAACACACATTTTAATATTAACTTCAACTTCTAATAGGCCAATCAATTAATGTACATATATAAATTTAATTCTTTAAATGGGAAAACAATCAGAAAATCATATCCGCTAGAACTGTCAGTCTTTCTATTAAAATCATTAATTATAATTAATCATAATTAACCAAAAATTACTAACTGAACAGTCAAGGATATTGACGTACGTGCGTTGCTGAATTTCTCCGTATGAGAAAAAGACTACTTAAATTAAATAAGAGAAAACATCAGAACTGAACAAGGCTTTACAGTAAATATCCTACTCACATTCGCTTATCGCAACTCTTAAACATATTGCCGGTAAAATAAAAAAAAGTAAATTTTATTATTATCTAAAAGTTAATTTCTGAGGAGAGCTCTTCTACGGAAGTGAATACAAAGTGTTACGAATACATAAATACTACCAGACTGGCAAGTCACATAACTATTGTGGAGCCAGTCTGATCAAACGATAAGAAAAATTATATCATATACAACATAAAGATGCTTATAAGCAGAGGGATTTAACAATTAGAATTACCACGTTCAAATTTTTGCGTTCATTTAGCATACCAAAATATTATTTTTCACCGAATTTTCTCCAAAAATTTTACGAATAAAAACTTTTTTTATGTGACAACTTCTCAAAAAACAACATTATATGGAGAGTGATTCAAGAAGCGGTCCTGTACAATTCGTATTAGATGATCAAAGGGATTGCAGTGAATTGCACGTTTTTTGGTACAGCGAAAGTATACTAAGTTCTTGCGGATGGGGTGTAACATCCAAAATAGTCTCATCTTAATACCAACTATTTCAGAATCATTTTATCAATCGATTTAAGCTTGTCTGCTCATTTATCTTTGTATCCAAGCTCAACATAATGTAAATTTTGAGAAATGTCGGAGAAAATTTGATGCACTAATGTGTTTTAACCCAAGACGAAATATATTTAACATGGTTCGAATCGCAGTACCTTTTCAACCATCATATCATCATTGCAATGTTTAGAATTTCGCGACAAAACTCGCTGAATAATACATGTAATGTACTTTCATTACTTTTCACCTGAAAAAGGCATTTAATGAAAAAAATTGGTACAACATATATTAATCAAATATTTTCCATCATTTTCTACAACGTTGTCCCATTTTACTGGCAACGTGGCGATATCGTGCCGAAACAACGAAATTGGTTTGGCAGCAGTCCAATCATTGAACCATTTACGCACGTCTTCAAGTTTGCTCAACCTTGTGCGAATCATACCAAGATGCATCGATATGAAGAACCGGTAGGCAGAAGACGTCATGTCTAGTGGGTACGCTGGGTGAGAGGAACTTCCCATTCGAGCTGCAACAGTGTAATCGTGACAACTCTTGCAACACACGGCCGAGCGTTGCAAGAGGATGACTTTACGTCTGTTAACAGTTGTCACTGCTGTATTTTGCAACAATACATTGTTCAATTTTTTCAATTTACGTCTGTAAACATCTGCAGTAACAGTTTCATTCGGTTTTCCCAGCTCGTATGATACTACGCTTTGCTGATCCTACCATATGCTTAGCACAACTTTATAGGCATGAATACTTCGTTTTCGTGTTTGCCATATGACCGTGTCTACATAAAATGAACCATTGAATGTCAAAAAAGTCGAATTTTCCTTATTTCATGATGGAAATTAATCCATAACAGCAAATTGACTAGAAATTACCGCACGAAATTTGAAACATATAGATTTATTTTTTTGAACATCAAATAAGTGATTTCATGAAAAATAAAATTTTTTATATGACAAAAAAGTCATTGCTAATATTTCATAATGAACATTTGTCCATGATAGTGATTTAACAGAAGAAATAACTGAAATTTGTTGTTTGAAGTTGGAAGTAGTAATTTGGCATAAAGATTAACCGTGGGTAAGTTGGATCACCAATTTTTATTTTTTAGATCCCATTCCAAACAAGGATCCTCATGACAAGTAAGTTTTTATAGGGCGACAAAGTCTAAATTATAGTTTCGACGAAAACAGCAATTTTTTATGACGGTTAACAATTTCTTTGAAAAAAATTTAATTTGCTAGTTTTAGGTCAAAGCTGTTTACATTTTGTGCACCGTACAACGCGTAACGTGTACCTTTACATAAAAACGAGGACTAACATCTAATATTTTAGCACGAATATGTGTATTAACCAAAATACTGTAAGTGTAGGGAATTTAATGGTCGACTTTGCTCTATTATACTTTTTCACCTGGTTTATCCGCCATGCGTACGCAATGTTATGTGGTAGGGATATTCTATCTATCTGCTGTCCATCCTAGAGTGGCGGATAGTGCATATCAGGCTTATGTTTCAATCTGCTATATTCGGAAATATACTTTAGAGACATTATAACATTTAAAATCTTGATTTACATTCCACTCCCTTTGATTGCTTGCCTGCTTGTTCGTTTATTTATATGCCAGTAATCTGTTTGAATGCTTGTATTCAAAAAATTCAGTATTCAGTATTTTGTCCTAATTATTTACCAAGAATTTTTTCCAGCTCGGAGCATCTTCAAATTTGTGAATAAAACCAGAAAGTATATTCGAGGGGAATATTTTATGCTTGTGAAGTTAAATCGTTTATGGAATACTCGAGCAGTAATATATCGGTTGAAAATAACTTTATGTTTATATGAATTATGGTCGTTATATTGTGTATTGTCTGTTAGGGTTTATGGATAACCGTAAATTGATATTACTCATATATTAGTACAAGACAATTCTCATCTTTGAGAAAACTTTAATTACTCATCAAAGGAAATGACAACTTTTTGTTATGTAAATATGCATTTCTTTCAAAGTCATTAGCGTGTGTTAATCTGAATCATAGTTTTAATAATAACTTTAGGATCCAACGTCTAAACAGGATAATCGCAATAAAAGCAAAATATCATTGCTGCTTTGGTTATTGAGGATAGATTTATTTTTTTGAATTTACATTGGTGAAACGAATAAATTCGAGACCAGTCTTGTTCTTCAAGATTCTGATAGTTACTTTTACAGACAATTGGTCCCTTATTCATGCTGATAAAAAGTATGTTATTTTTGTACGTTCACAATGATGCGCACATTTAATATACCAGCTTCGATGCATACAAAAAAAGTCACATTACATTATAAGGGCAAGGCCCACAAATCAAATAAAATTAAATATAATTACCAATAGTACTTAGTGCAACTCCTTGCAAACTGCTTTTAGTTGTCAATGTTTCTTCTTACTGTTTCTTAAGTAACTATTTATTTGCTACTTGCTTTCAACTCTTATTTTCCAGGAGGTTTTTTGGATTAGAATTATGTCTTCTTTTTAAAATAGTTTCTTGTTTAATTTTCTTTGATTTTGTCTAAATAAACATCTTTGCCAAATTTATTTGTTTGAGATTTTCGTTTTCGTTCTTTTTTAATATGGTGCATTTTTGTAATTATATTAGTTTGGGGAAAAAGAAATCCATTATTTTTATATGAACTTCAGGACTTTATTTAACATGCTTCGGATTGTCCGATTTGGGTCAAATATGCACCGTTTTGTTGTACGATTTGTTGCCATTTTAAAGGTAACTTCAAAATGCCTCTCTCATAGAAGTCCTGGTCTCTATTTGCAAAAAACTCTAGTAGTCGATTTTCACAATCCTCCCTAAATTCCAATTTTTTATCATTAAAGAAATTTTGCAATGCAAGAAAAAGATGGTAATTGATTGGTGCCAAGTCCGGACTGTATGGCGGATGCATTAAAACTTCCCAACCAAGCTCCCGAAGTTTCTGGCGAGTCACTGTAGATGTGTGTGGCCTAGCGTTGTCCTGGTGGAACACGACACCTCTCCTGTTGGCCAATTCTGGCCGTTTCTGGTCAATCGCTATCTTCAAACGGTCCAGTTGTTGACAGTAGAGATCAGAATTTAGCGTTTGGCCATATGAAAGCAACTCATAATAAATAATCCTCTTCCAGTCCCACCAAATGCATAGCAAAACCTTCCTGGCCGTTTGAGGTACTTCACCGCTCTTTGACCATGATCGTTTTCGCACAGGGTTATCGTATGTGGTCCATTTCTCATCTTCAGTCACCATCCGTTTAAGAAATGGGTCTATCTCATTCCGTTTGGCCAAGGCTTCGCAGATGGAAATTCGACCCATCATGTTTTTTTCTGTTAATTGGTGTGGCACCCATACATCGAGCTTCTTTTTGAACCAAGCTTTGTGTAAATGGTTTAAAACTGTTTTGTGGTCGATTTTTAGCTCCTGGGCGATGTTACGACTGCTAACATGCCGGTCAACTTCGATCATTTCTCCGATTTTATCGACATTTTCGACGACCGGCCTACCTGTGCGGTGCGATCAAAAATTCCTGAACGGAATCTACGAAACCAAAATTGCACATAATTGGCTGTTACAGTATCGGAACCATAAACACCATTCACAATTTTA